CGGGGTGTGCAGGGCGGACCGCCAGCCATGGCGGCTTTGCCCTCAGATCACCGACCCACACCTCTGCTCCTCTGGCTCTCTGCGCGTGCGTCTCCAGACCGCGGTCTGCCCGTGCGCTTTCAGTAAAAGCCGGTGACTGTGGGGTCTTTCTCTCACTGCTGCTTTTTCCCCCAGAAAAATAATCGGCTCTACCAGGTGTCGGTTGGACAGTGCCTGAGAGTGGTGGACCCCCTGGGCCAGAAAAGCTCCGTGGCCATGGCGATCTGTGATGGGTCCCCCTCTCAGCAGTGGCGTCTGGAAGGCTGAGGCGGATACCAGGCTGGGACAGCACCGCGCCCAGCTTTGCCTGCTCGGGAAGTGTGGTCTCTGGAATCAGGTTGCTGGGCGTGGGAGGCCGGAGCAGATTCCCTGACCCGATAGAGCCACCTTGGAGATGCCTGAGGGTCAGCAGAGGTCACGTCGCAGATCTGCTGGTGTGGGGGCCGGCAGCAGGTGGAGGACGTTTTACTTGCTGTTAAGGAATTTCTTGTCTATAGCGAGAACCCAGAATGTATTTTTCACTCTAAAGAGTCAGGGTTGTACAGGACAAAACCCAGGAAATGGACATTTCTAATTACATTCATTTATGCTGCTTTTTAATCCCCTTCAATGATGGAAAGATCTTTATCTGATTACAGCCTATCATGATTTAGAAGACTTCATTCGTAGATCTTTTTTTTTAACTTCTGTTTAATATGTTCTAAATAATTTTTTAAAACTGAATCTACATTACTTCTAAATTCAGAAGGCATCATTTATAAGATAATATTTAAGAGGCAGTTAACTGCCGTAAGTTATTTTGATGAATTATGATACTGTCTCCATTTAGAATAAAGGGGCTTTTTGATGATTTAACCAGGATCTCTGTCCTTTGTTGTGGCCTGTGATCTGAGCTGCCATGTGGCTGGAAGTGCTCCTGTGTCTGGTCAGTTAGGCGTGTCAGATGCATTTTAAAATGATGGGCTTATCGGGATGTAACCGCTGTATTAGATCAATGATCTATACCCTGAATATTTGGCCCGTCCCTTGACAGGGAAAAAGCAACATGGTAGGTTTTCAGTAATGACATTAAATGTGACTGAACGTGAGTGAGCCTCAGCTCCAGTACACGGCAGAGTGTTAGAATAACAGTGAGACCCCCCCTGTGCCGCCCATAAGAAACGCACGGGTTCGAGATGCCAGGAAGGTAGATATGTGCTTAACACGGGCTCAGGGACAGCGGGGTGTGTGCTAGACGGTAGCTTTCAGAGTGAGGAACCATCTCATTGTGCTAAAAGGTTTATTTCATCAAGAGGAAATAATCCCAAACGTACATCCACTCGATAACAGAACTTTACTTACCTCAGAAATGGACAAACCTGGGAGAAGTAAGCATGTGTAAGTATAGTAGATGATCTGAACACATCTCTTGATAATTGATAGGACAGGTAGACAGAAGGACGGGCTAGAGAAGCCTTGAACAGCGCGTTGAACCATCCTGACATCCATAAGACACTCCACGCAGTAAGAGAATGCTCAAGTACGCATGGGTATTACCAAGGTAGACCATATTCCAGAATGTTAAACAAGACTCTGAATGGATACAAATTCAAGACATGCCAAGTATATTAGAAATCAGTGACAACAGCAATAAAGACACAATGACACGATGCCTGGAGTCTGATTGTAGCCTAGTGGTTTAAGGGAGTTGGATCCCATGTGACCAACCATGGTTTTAATTCCAGCCCTCGTGGCTTGAAAAACACGCCAGGTTCATGTGCATACCTACCCCAAATCCTGACAGGGCGAAGAAGTGGAGATGGGATTGGGCCATTACCATTGGACACTAACACACTTCTTAATTACTTTGTGTGTCAGAGAAGACATCACATGGTTATTGTGAACTGACTGAATGGAAACATCCGTTTATACGACAGTCGGTGCTTAGAAATTCCATACCACTGAGTCCCGAGTCCACAAAAGGACCACGTTCTCAGTGAAAAAGAACAGCAAGTTAGAAGCTCAAAGGAGCAGAGGAGTATTAAATATCAGAAAAGAAATGAAATAGATGAAGGAAAAAGAAAACCAAAAGCTGATTTGAAAAATAAAATGGACCACCCGTGTGGTGGGAAGGGAAGAACAGCCACGGCAGCAGCGGGAAGGAGTTCAGCCTCCGTGGCGTCTACACTGCAGACGACAGGGACTCATTGCTGGCGGGGATGAAAAGTACGGCCACTTGGGAAGAGTTTCCCACGAAGCTAAACGTACTGTTAGGGCCCAGCAGTTGTGCTCCTTGGAATTCAGCCAGAAAGTTGAACACTTCCTTCCACACAGGAGCCTGCACACGGATGTCCGTAGCTGCTTCCGCACTTGCCAGAGCTCGGAGGCAACCGCGGGGCCTTTCGGTAGGTGGAGGGGGCGCTAAGCCGCGGGCACGCGTCATTCGGTGCTAAAAAGATCATCTGTGAACCCGGAGATGCCACGAAGGAGTCAGAAATGCATGTTAGGAAAAGGCGACGCACCGTGTGATCCCAGCTGCATGACTGACACGGCGGCAGTAACGGTTCGATGGTTGCCAGGGGTTAGGAAGTGTGATGAGTGTCATTGGGGTGTCTGAAAAAAGGCGAGCTTTTCTGTGCAAAAAAGCGTCATGACTTTCCCGGCCACTCAGTGCACGTCCGTGTGGCTGGGGTGCCCGGGTAGTCGGTGAATGTGGTTTCTGGGTGTGGATGTGACACTCTTCCAGAAGAGATTCCCATTTAAATGAGAGAGACTAAAGCAGTGCCCCCCACCCGCGAGGGGCAGTAGCAGGCTTTTGAGAGCGCAGTAGAACCGAGTGGAGGAACCAGGCTGCCTCCTGCCCCAGATGTCGCTGCCTCCGGCTCAGGCCTTCAGGCTCGGACTGGAACTATAGCCCTGGCTCTCTGGGCTTCCAGCACCAGCACGGTCAGCCCCTGCCCGGCTCGGCCTCCGAGCACCTGAGCCAGTCGGTTGTGCGTAACGAATCCCTTTCCCTGTAGCTCCGTCCTGTCGGCTCGGTTTCTCTGCAGAATCCTAACACAGTAGGGAGGGGTACACAGGATTTGGGGGACAGGGAAACAGCCCTGTGTGACACTGACCGTAGATACATGGCGTTGTCCTTAAGGTGAGACCGGTAGAGGGCCCTGCGAGGGCGAGCCCCAGCGTATTGGTGGTGGTGCCCCACGGTGCAGGTCCCGTCGGCCCAACCGCCTACCACCGGGCGCCAGGGTGAGGGCAGGGAGGGCTACGTGTGGATGGCGCAGAGAGTGTATGGGAACCCTGTGCTCAGTTTTGCTGTGAACCTAAAATTGCTCTAAAAAGCTTACTTTTTTCAAAAGGATGGGCCAGCCAGTTGCGTGGTGAAGGTGGCCAGATCCCACATGGCTGACTGTGGTTCAAGTTCTGGACCTCTCAGCTTAAAAAAAACACCAGGTGCCCGTGCGTGTGCGCCCAAATGTAAAGTGGAGGATGGAGCGGAAGGCATTGCAGTGCGGCCACCTTCCCTGGGTGAGTCTTCACGTTCCCCTCTGCCTCTCAGGTGCAGGTCCTCCACAGCAAACACCTGGGGGAGAGAGATTTTTGTGACCAACTTTATGCTGATTTGAAAGTTTGAGAGGGTCAATGAAATGGACAAATTCCTTAAAAGAAACAAACTACTAAACTTGTCTGAGGAAAAACTAGACAGCCCGAGTAGACTAGCACTTACTAAGAAAATTGGGTTTATGGTTTTTGTTTTTTTGGGGTTTTTTTGGAGAGGTTTTCGCTATAGGGCGCGAGCGCTCACCAGACAGACAGAGACATAGAGACAGAAAGCGAGAAATCACCCCCCAGGGGGGATGGCCAGGCCGCAATCCCTTCTCCTCCATTCTCCTCTCGGGATCTTGGGCACGCACGCACACGTGCCCGGCGTGAGTTTTAAGCCACCGGGTCCAGGAGGCGAACTGCGGTCGACTACGTGGGAGTCCAGTGACATAGCCATTACGTTAACTGCTGGTTCCCAAAATTGGATTTATGGTTTAAAAACTTTCCCACAAAGAAAACTCTGGCACACATATCCCCTGGTAATTCTGTCACACACTGGAGGGAAAAATTAGCAAATACACACCATCTCTTCTGGGAAACGGATTTTGATCATATGAGTAAGCCTTATTCATTGCAAAAGCCGTACACAGGACAGCTGGAGGCCAGTCACTCCTGATTATGAGGTACAATTCCCCTACAGAATGCCAGCGAGTCAGTCCATGACGTATCAGAAGGATGATACTGTCTCGTGTAATGTGAAAGGAGGATAAATTATAAAGAAGTGAGTTTTATCCCGGGATGCAAGCTCAGTTTAGCAGGGAATCTAATTTGTGATGTTAATAGGACAGGAGAAAAGGCATTTATGATCTTGCAGAAAAAAGGTATAGAAAAGATGGCTGGAATTCAATATTTATGATAAAGAACTTACCGAAATAGGACTGAAAGGTTCCTCTCCATGATAAGGGCATTTAGGAAGACACTGGCAGGCAGCCTCATATGGGATGGGAGGGGGCTCAGGAACAAGACGGGACTCCTGCTTTTAGCCCTTGTGGCCACCGCGGAGCAGAAAGCCCTGCCAGCACAGCAGGGGGAGAAACAAGGCTCGCAGGCCGGGGCGGGGGGCTCGATTGGCAGTCCGTGTCGAAGAATGAAAAATCACGGAGTCGTTAGAAATGATGCCAAGTGTTATGGGGCCTTCAGAGAACGTATTATGAGAAAACCTGCAGGCCCTTGACCTAGTGGTTAAGTGAGCTGGATCCCAGATCGACTGGTTTGAATCCCGGCCCTGGCAGCTTGAAGAGCACACCAGGCACATATGCTCCGAATCCCTGCAGGATGGCGAGATCACAGAGAAGACGTGTGAGCGCCCCCTGGAGGACGCTTTCTTCCTCTCCGACAAGCTCGCACACCCTCTGGCAATAAAGAGAGAGATCTCTGTAAGCTTTTCGTAGGCTTTGATAATTTAAAAATTTATATGACATCTACAGGGCTAAGAGTGGCCAAAATAATCTGAAAGGAATAAAGTGGAGGCTTCCTGTGCTCTTGACCTGAGTGATGATAGGACAGAAGCAAGGGGACCGACGTCACCCAAGAGAACAGGAAGTCATTAACGTGCTGGAAGAGTTTGATACCCCCATGGACAAAAGTGAAACTGACCCCCCTCTGACCTTTTACCATACGACCTTATTTCAGGGTGGATCGTACATCTAAATAAAATCTAAAATAATAAAGCTTTAGAAGAAAATGTGTATCAGGGCCAGCAGGTGGCGTGGTGGTTAAGGTGTTAGACTCCCACATGGCCAACAGCAGTTTGAGTCCTGGACCTGGCGGCTTCCTTTCTCACTTTGCCTCTGCCTCTGGTCAAATTTAAAATAATTCTCGAATGTATATATACACACTGTTGGAGCTGGCAGGTGGCATGGTGGTTAAAGGTGCTGGATTCTCACATGGCCAACCATGCTTCGAGTCCCAGACCTCGTGGCTTGCTTTCTCACTTTCCCTTTTCTCTGTTTCTGATCAAATTAAAAAATAATAACAAATGGAATTAAATAAATTAATTTAAAATATTTATATACTATCCTGACTTCCGGTAAAGATTATTTTTAAAAAAGTGAAACTAGTCCTAACAAATTGAACTTCATGACAAGGCCACAGACTTGTTCAACAGTGTATGAACAGCACTTACGGTTCAATAATAATACAACCCAGTATTTTCAATGGACAAAGTCCTTGAATAGACATTTTACTAAAAAAGTGATTGCTCATACATGAGAAGGTGTTGAGTGTCACCAGAAAGGTGTGAAGTAAAAGCAGAGTCAGGTGTCGCCACGTACCCATTA